CGTAAATGAAATCTTGAGAAGATTTCATATGGAGAAACTGGTTTACTTTTAAGCGGTATGTTGGAAAGGTTCCAAACGTGAAGCAACCATTGATTCAATAGTAGAAACCTAATACATGATTACTTTAGAAGTAACAAAGAGTTGCGATCTGGATCATGACGATCATAAATGAACTTGGAGTAGTTCCTGATATTGTTGATCACATACCATTGTATTGTGATAATAATAAAGTCATTGCGAAAGCAAATGAACTAAGGTCTTATCAATGATCTAGACATATATTAAGGTAGTATAATCTCATCAAAGAGATAATACATAGAAATGACGTAAAGAGAAAAACAAATTCTCACATTTAACAATATTGCAGATCCACTGACAAAGAGTTGTCGTAGTACAAACATGATCATCATGTAGACTTATGATATTAGATACATAAGTAATTGGATCTAGTGCAAGTGGGAGTTTGTAAGTATTATGCCCTAGGTCCAATTGAGTTTGGACATAAATACTTTTGATATATAATTAATGTAATTTAATGACAGATCTGTTATTGAATTAATAGACAATTAAATAAATAATAGAGTCCGTAAATTCAAATTTTCGTAATTTGTTAATCACAAGGAGTTGTGATTGTGAGATACAAATTACATCTGATTGAATCTTAAATTGTCCGTGGTCGTAAGTAATAACGAGATACGGATATCGTTATTACGGTTAGACCATCACATGTGACATTTCTTATTTATGAAATAAGTAGCTGATCTCACAAGTTAAAGTGTGGTGACACTTAAATGAAAACATGGATGTTTTGTTATAGAACAAAACATTGGAGACCCGCCGAGAGATTCCACATGGATAACTATCTGAGTGTCAGTGGTTAATCTCTAACGTTCGATAGTGGAATTGGTCTTTTGACTTGAGGTCGTCATGGTACCTTATATGAGGACAGTCATACTTTGACGTTGTTGGATGTTGCTCTACAAAGGGTCGCTAATATGACATCGTTTGGGTACGACAAGAATCGTATGAAGGTTGTAATTGACCAATAAAGGATTCGTCACTCTTAGATAGTAGGAGATTATGATCTGCATTTCATTCAATTAAGTCGATGATGAAATTCTTGGTCAAGGTGTACTCGTAAGTCGAAAAGGAATTTTCAACTTGTATTAACTTAATAGTAGAGTGAAAGATATAATCGATAATTGAGATTGACACACTTCAATATTTCGTAATTGATCGGATCATATTGACGGAAGGATTATAGTTTCACGGTAAACGAACGAGTTTGATTTTGTCATACCACATGACATTTCCCATCACATGTACTGTCCTGACACATTGCTAGACGTCAATCTGGGACGGCGAGTGTGAATTGACGATAAATTAAAAGTGTGTTTCAATTTATCAATTTTAATTAAATCAAAATAATATTTCATGTCGTTAGGTATCGTGATCAGGAACCTGATGGGTCACACACAAAAGAGAATTGAAAGATTGCAATTTGTCAATTAATTAATTTAACAATCGTTGGATAAATTAATTAATTGATTTGATTATTTATAGGCCCGAATTAATTAATTGGATTAATTAATCCACGGACCGGATTTAATTAAATGGATTAATTAAATATTGGACCGGATCGGGCCAGGCCCGTTTGAATTTATATAAATACATAGTCAGGGTTTGAGGTACATATAATTTTCATTATTCTTACTGGCATAAGAAAGAAAACCCTGGTCGCTGCAATCTTATTCTCTGTGTGGATTATCGTTGGAGGCTGGACAATTCGATAGTTGTGGATGGCGAATCAAGATTATTGGAACGAAAAGAAAAGCAAAAGGTTTGCAGAATTCTTTAAAGATACAATCTTTATCACGATTTCTATCTAAACACAAAGGAATCTTCGATGGGAATCGAAATAATTTTAATTTTTCGCTGTACATGTATAAGTAGATTTCCAATACCTGTGACAAGGGCTACCTTGATTTGAAATTCAGCTCCTATCACAAGGGCTGTCCTGGCCCCTATTTGTGTAGCACGTTTGATAATTTTTCTACTTATCTCGTCACACTGGTACCAATGATTGCCACATTTTCTTCACTTCAACGTGAAATGCCTACAGAGCACCAGTCTAAATCAAGGCCCTTTTTGTTGACCATTGCTTTTAGAACTTTTGCTTTTAGAATTGATAAACACGATTGCTTAAAACTTCAATTCTCAAGTCGGTAGCAACTTTTGCTTGTAGAATTGATTCAGTAGGGAAAAAAAGAAAAATAAATTAAATTATAGAGCCAAGTGTTTATTAATTTTTTGATATGGGCTTGAGATCCCTGTAAATTTTTACTTTTGTCAATTTTATGCTTAGTTTCTGGCATAATTGACTATTTGAGCCGACTTATTTGTTAAAAGATGAGTTTTTGCTTCTTTTTAATAAATCAAATTCTTCCTCTATAATTTTCCAGCATTTTTAGGTCTTCTACTAGTTCTCTATCTAGATATATCTTTTAAAAATGTCTACCATTATAATAAAATTTGTATTATAATTATTTATATTTAGTAATTGTGTTTTTAATTAAGACATTTGCAACAATTTCAAGTCCTGACTCCGATGTCACTTCCAAAATAAGCAATGACTTGTCCTAACTTGGAAATATCGTTGAGGATAATTCTATTTGAATCACAAATAGATATTAATATCAATAAAAATCACCAATTCTTGTATGATCAGCAATCACCAACGAAATTTTCGACACTGTTCGTTTACTTCGATAATTTTCTTACTATTGGTTTTAAAAAGGCTCCCTTGACAATTTTGTCTAAAGCCCTGGAATTGCTTGAACCACCTCTTCCATTAGGACGCCCTTTGAAATCTTACACATTGAAATTGGGTTAGAAGAAGTATGTAATTTCTATCTTCCAACATTGAGTTGAAATCTTTTCTAGTTCGGGATAAGTCTCAATTTTATTTTTCAACTCCATTTTAGTATTAAGTAGCTTGCTTTCCACTTAAATTATCACTTGTTAAAGAGTGATTTTAAACAATCAAATATAGCACGAAAAACTTACTTGTTTGACCTCAATACCACCAAAATCGTGTCACTCGTACATCCAACAATGTTGATTACTCTTAGATTATATTAAATCAATTTTTCCAACACTTACATACATAAAAAAACAAAAATCATATCCATCACCTAACCATTACGACTTGAGCATTACTTGTGTTCAATAATGATTGAACAAGAAAATATTCAAGTGGAAAAAATTTCCGAGTCCTTGAATTCTAAAATTAATTAATTAATTAATCACATGTTTCTTGCCTTTGTTTTCGTACAACAATTATATATTATTTGGTGTGACAACCAGGCGAATCCTATATTAAAGTCCACAGAATTTGTATCTGAATTTCCAATGACAAATTTCTTTTGATTTGACTTTTAAACTACCACAATAATATCCAAGAATAAAGCCTCCACATGGCGCCCTTGTCTTCAACCCTATTCCCAAGCCGGGACAAGGAGCTGGGTTGAATATCCAAAGGGTCATTGACTAGCTAGCATATGTACCGTGTAGTGACTGACATAATTATATGTTGTGTTTACATTGATCAAAGAACATGAATTATTTGGGCTGAACTGAAATTTTGGAGTACTAAGCCAGATTCTATATATTAGAGACAATGTTAAAATTTGTATATGGTTTAAATTTTGAACAAATATTATACACGAAGTCTACTTAACCCAAGTCAGTTTTTTAGAATGACGACTTAATGTGGGGTTTATGCAACATAACTTATTAGTCACCGTGCCCATTGTGTCCAATATATTAAGTCCCGTTTGGCCCCCATTCATGGAAATGAAAATTGGTTGAATAATATTTTTTTTAAATGAATAGTTGAAAAAGAAGGAAACATTTTGTTTATATGTAATATTATTTTATGGAAAATTGCGTGTTGAAAATAGGAGAGAAAAAAATGAAAATTAATGGGGGCCAAACGGGGGCTAAAATCGTTCAATGTCAAGTAAATATTAGATAAATAATATATATTTTTTAATTTATTGAGATTATGTCTTCTCCTACACCAGATGGATGGGGATGAAACTACTAGGAATGGCAATGGGGTGGGTCGGTGCAACTAGTCCCCATTCGGCGTCAAGTATTTTTGTCTTCTTGTCCTACCTATATACTTGATTAAGACGGGACGGGAACACTGCTCCGATTCTATTACTATTAATGGGTGGCTCTAGGATTTCTTATGGGCACATGCATCTATCGTCTCATTTATTTTTTTTACTTTTAATTTTTAGTGGGTAAAAATCATTATTTTTTGAAAAATTTTAGAAAAATTCATGTTTCTTCTAAAAATGATTATAATTATTTTCTTTTTATTTGATTAAAAAACATGAATTTTGAAATGAACTTTGAAAGGATGGGTAATGGGAGGGAAAACCACGCCCCATACGGGACGAGGCCTATAAATATCTAATATAACAGATTTCTTTGTCATCCCTAGACACTATCCATACAATATTTATTAATATGAAAATGTTTTTGTGAACCTCTAGAGAAGCGACATACTTGAATGTGTTTAAAAGTTCTTTTATTAGTTTTTCTTGATTATGTGTATTTACATGTCGTGAAGAAAGCAACTAGTTACAAAGCGAATAATGTTATTTGTACATTATTGTGTGCGTAATATTGTACAGATAGATGATATAGAAGATAAAGAGAGAAAAATATAAATGAAAATAAAAGAAACTTGGTTATTATAATCTTTCTTTCTCTTTCATGTCATTTATTTATACATCATTACGTGTACAATGATGTACAAATAACATTACTCTCAAAAAGCTACTATTAAGCACAAGAAAATGTCTTTTGTTTATTTTGAAGATTGTCCAAACATGGTACTTAACCTTAACATATCCTCTACTGTGTGGACTCCACACAAACTTCAACACGTTATGCTAATTACGTTACCTTCCCATAAAGGAAGACATATTCTATTTCAAACAAACTCATGTTCATGTTCATGTCCATATATTCTCTCTCCACTTCTTCTCCATTTCCAACCCATAATATAACCTTCTTCCCTGTAAAGTTTCTTGGATTTTCTTACTTGGATTATTTTACCGCTTTTGTTTTTGTATATGGGGGGTGGTTTTTCTGCTTTGGCGAACGAGAAAAATATTGTAACTCATCCTTCAAACCCTAATCTTGGTGACTTACCAGAGAGCTGTATTGCTTTGATTCTGTCTTGTTTGGAACCTTCGGAGATCTGTAAATTGGCACGTTTGAATAAAACATTCCACCAGAGTTCATTTGCTGATGTTGTTTGGGAATCAAAGTTGCCTGAAAATCATCAAATTCTTGTGAAAAAGCTGTTCAGTGTAGAGGAATCCTCGGAGAGATTATCCAAGAAAGAGATTTTCTCCAGATTATGTCGTCCCATTCGCTTTTCCGGTGACACCAAGGTAAGACTCTACTTCGTCTAAACGATGTAGTTTAACATGATATATATTATAGTTGGCAAAAGTCTTCAGTTCTCGTTACCATCCCTTTAAGAAAATTGTAAACATGTTAAGTCTTTACTTATCGTGGTAGGAAGTTTGGTTGGAAAAGGGTAGACGAGGGATATGTGTTGCTATTTCCTGGAAGGGAATGAAAATTACTGGAATAGATGATCGGAGATACTGGACTCATATCTCCACAGATGAATCCAGGTTAGATTTTCAAAATCCGTACCATTTGGATTGCAATAGTCGATGGCTGTGGAACAAATGATGAAAAATGATTAACCAAGTCGATCCAATGGCGCCCATGGAAACCCAGGGCCCATGTGGCCCTGGACAAGCAGCATTATTTTTTGTCAGTTGTCACTATTAGCAAAAGGAAAAGGTCCAATTGCTACATGTTATTATTGCAAACGTCTTGTCCAAAGTCGAATCAATTTTGGATGTAAACAATTTTATATATAATTGATGCAATTTTATGGTAGAACTATTATTTAATTAATAATCAATCTAAATACAAAGTATATACTTGGTGGGAATTGAAATTATTTATTTTTCATTGTGCATGATTAAGTAAATTCTCAACAATTGTTACTTGCCAAGAAGGTCTATATCAGCTAGTGCAAGTTGGGGATGTATTGACAGCTTGAAAACTCTGTGTGTATTGTTTCACATTCAAGGGTCGTTTACAATTTTTTTGATTTTAGTAGATTTTGATTAAAAAAAAGATAAAATTCATAGTTGAAAAGTTGATAAAAGTTGTGAATCCCTTAAATGCGTAGTTAAATTAATTGTTGACATTGACCTCAACTTTTTAGTAACTTTTTAAACTATTCCAAACAAGCACAATACATTTTTATGTTTTGGCCTAGTACGTCGAGAGTTAGTCTAGGAATCGTAAATAATGCTGCTACATTTTTTCCTTGTGCTCATTCAATGATCCTTGCAAAATGTTCAGATTTCACACAATTGCTTATCTTCAGCAAATGTGGTGGCTAGAAGTGGAAGGCAACCTAGAATTCGAGTTTCCGGCTGGTAATTACAGCCTGTTTTTTCGATTGCAGATAGGAAGAACGTCGAAAAGAGCTGGCTGGCGAATCGTCAGTGATTTAGAACAAGTCCATGGCTGGAACATTAAGCCTGTCAAGTTCCAATTAGAATTATCAAATGGCCAGCATACAACATCAAATTGCTATTTGAATGAGGCTGCAGGGAAATGGATGCACTATCATGTAGGAGATTTTGTTGTTGAGAATTCTTACATCCCAACAAAACTCAAGTTCTCAATGGCTCAAATCGACTGCACACACACAAAGGCTGGACTTTGCTTGGACTCTGTGTTCATATTCCCAAGTGAATCCATGAAGCAGTTGAAACAATTTTAATTTGATGTAGAAAAAGGGTTAATTTGATGTCTCTTATACCGACGACGAATGAGTCCCGCTATACTCTTGGGTTGAATAGTCGATGAATTCTTAATCTATGAATGAATGTGACAAAGTCGAGAATATATAGTGTTTGTTCATAGAGAGGTCCTCTTTCATTTGAGATTACTCCACGATGCAACTTTTTACGGAAGGTGTCTCACTTGTAGTGATTGTTGGAAACCGTGTTACATTAGATTTTTCAATAAATTTTAACAAAGTAGTGCGATGGGAAGGACTTATGAAGCCGATTCTAAAATTATTGCGATTAGTATTAAGACTTTGTTTGTTGTGAATTGAAGGATTAATTAGTGTTGGATAAATTTCATAAACCTCCCCTTCGGTCTATGATAATTTCAAAAATACTCCTAATTTTCAAAATTACATAAATTTCCCTTATGCTAATAAATTCTCCATTTTGCCCTTCTCTATTATGCTAAATAAGGATGGGCAAAAGAATCAGAATCTATCAAACTAAACTAGAAATGGTCGATTCAGATTGGTTCGATTCTTATTCTTAGAACCAAGAACTGATTCTAACCCAATTTTTTTTTTTTTTTTTT